GTCAGAGGATTAAAATGAGTCATCTGGCCAGTCCTCGATTAGAGATGGCCTCAGATTCCATAGGGCCCACGAGCCATCTAGCCCTCTGAACCCTTCGGTTGGAACTGATCTTAATAACAACAATTGACAAAGGAAAGATAAAAGGATGATGTGCTACTAACTTTAATGCACCGCACAGTACACATAAATATCGCCCACAGTGCTTTTGGGTGAAAGTAAAGCTCAAACAGTTATTAAGAATCTGGTTCATGGAAAAGAGAATGATTCTCTTCCCTCCTAATCTTTCTCCATTTACCTTATTTTCTATTTGAACGGTCATGGTTAAGCCAATCAACAAGACAAAAAATAATGTGTGATATGTAGGAAGGGAAAGGAATGGGAATAGAAGGGGAGAGAATTCTACTCCCATGAGAAAAACAGCTAATTACAAAAGCTAGGGAGCTGCTAGTCTCCACAAAGTCCCTAGGCTAGCTTTCCCGTACCCTACACCACTAGAGAAGTTTGAGTCACTTTCACAGAGAAAAGGTTTCCATGATAATTTGGTTTCCTTTCTTTTCTTTTTTTTTACCTAATTGTGCTTAAAGAGAAGTTCTAAAAATTTAGAAAACTAATTAAAAGTTTGAAAACTTTGAGGTTTAACGATAAAAACCAAATACAGGGTAAAATAAATAGTATCAGGATTGACTTTTTAGTGTCAAAATATGGTTTTTTGTTAAAGTGAACAGTACCGGGAGCTTTTCGTTAAAGTTCACTTTAAATTTTTGTTAAACTAGCAAGTGAATAATTAAAAAACTATTTTAGTTACTCAGTTTAAAACTTTAGGAAAACTAATGAAAAGGGCTTGAAAACTTTAAGTTTTAATGATAAGGACAAAATAAAGGGTAAAGTGAATAGTATCAGGATTGACCTTTTAGTGTAAAAATATGGTTTTTCGTTAAAGTGAACAGTACCAGGTGCTTTTCGTTAAAGTTCTCTCTAACTTTTGATCTCTAGCAACGTTCTTTTTTAACAAACTTTAAAATATTTTAATATTAACAATCCAAACTCAACTCACTCATTTTTTAAACTACATTTTCTCTTTCTTTTCACCTTGCTCTAGGGTCCACTATTGAGTTTTATTATATTTTATATTTAGCAAGTAAATAGTTGCACTTCCAATTTAAAGAGTGATTATTGATTTTGCTATAATAGAAATTATTTTACACCATCTCTTGGAGATGAATTTTTTGAGTTTGGCTCTTTATAATAAAGTTTTGGAGTTTTACAGCATCTCTTGGAGATGCTTCCAACTGTTTTCAGTTGTCTTCTTTGAATATAATGTCTTCGTTTTTTTTTAATTTTGTTAAAGAACGGGTTGTTGACATTTTGAATCAATAATACACATGTAAGTTTTTCACATGTCTTATTATTTACACAAAATGCTACAGCGATGGTAAATCCGTGTTAGGTAAGTTGCACATGTTGACAAGAGTCGATAACATTGGTGCGTAACATTTCAATTGTAAAACCTTTTAATGTGTTATTATATTATTGGCACAAAATTTATCATTGAGCAAAAGACTAGACGTTCTACTTGGAGAATTTCCGAAAAAATCTAAATAGTGATATATAAGCATTTTAATAAAAAATAAATACAATGTGAATTATGCCAATTAGTTAGCATATTGTGACACACCCCGTCCCGAAGGAGGGCATGCTGGCCGTCACATGAGAGTGACGTAACCATTTACACAGTTCGGAAGCTTTTAAAATACAATTATTAAAATGGAAACCCTCGAGGGTGAGTCCTACTTTTGTGAATTCTGTCAGAATACCGTTGGATTCCTCGTGGCCACCAAAACTCTGCTATTAAGAACCTGGAGGGGCGAAAAACAAAATTGAGTGGGTCAGTAAAACCAAGCTTTTCAAAAACATTTCGCCAAAAATAATTCTAACCCCTCACTGTAAAACCTGTATAATTTTCCCAGAAAATAGTATAATAACATAATACTTTTCATAAATCTCGAATCATCAATTTTTCTTTAAAACCCGAAAGTATGCCATGTTTTAATTTCGAAAACAAAATAAATGATGCATCAATGTAACAGGTGAAAAGTTGAATTAACCGGAGACCCTGCAGTTGGTCCTGTACGGTTAATTCCATAGCTCAACATCCAATCCAACCGGAGTCACCTCGATGACCTGTACGGCACTACACTGCAGATAAGTCGGAACTACCTGAAGTAGTCTGTACGACATGGATGGTGTAATAATACGCTCTAGTGCTTCTCTCATCAATCATCTGTGCACATAATCTAAGGTCACCCACTAGTCGGAATCACATCTAGTAATCTATACGACTAGCATGTCGGAACCCTCACTTGGTCTGTACGACATCCACCTACTTGGATCCAAGACGAGCGTGCGGTGTGGTGAATAATATAAGCACTAACACCATGATTGCAGGTTATGAGCTATCCACAATATACACATCAACAATGCACATGAATAATATAAAACTCACCTGATACTTACATGTGCGTCCACAGCACCAATTCACATATATATATGCATCATATATCAATTCATGCTTTTCATATACTTCTATGCATGGCATTTCAAATCATACTTTTCATATAAATCTATCCATGGCATTTTAAATCATACTTTTCATATAAATTCAATTTCTGGGAAAACTCAATAGTATATAGGTAATACGAAAACAAAACTGCCCACTCACCTGGAGTTCGCCCTACAACTCCCTAGCACAACACATCAAGGCGTCATGACGATCGCCGCCTAGAACAATAATCAAATCCAACCTCAGAAATCATATCGATAGAATATAACTTATATAAAACACATCACTACGCAGTTCGATCCGAAAGATCTGCAACTCAGATTTTAAATCCATAACTTCCAGAGGTCCACAATATATCTCTAGGACAACATCCTGAAATTTCATTACCATCCAACGGTCGGATCCCCGTCAATTTCCAAAACTAAGTGACGGTTAACATTTTATTTTATGAACTTACAACTCCAATTCTGGAAGATCCGTAACTCAGATTCCCAATCCGTAAGTTCCAATAATCCTAAAATATTACGTATTACAACGTATCAAAGTTTGATGACGATCCAACGGTCGGATCGTCAATTCACATTTTCACCTAAATGCGAAAACTATAAAACGTTATTTAAAGCACCTAACCAATAATCGTAATAACTTTCTCATACGGTGCTCAATTTGGGTATATGAATATACCACAGTGATCTACTCGACGTCACGAACGTCGACATATTTTTAGATTATTTTTTTGATGTGCCACGCGCCCCCACGCGCCGCACGTGTCACGGGCCCACGCGCCCCCCACGCGCCCTTCTTCTTCCTTGGGTCGCCGGACTGGTTTTTCCGGCGACCGTTTTCTGGCCAATTTTAAAACCTCTTGTTCTCCTTCGTTTTTCACCCATTTTCTTCGTATTTTATATCAAATTGAAGCCCCAAACATGTAGAATCACAATAGACTAGTTTAAGGCTCTAAAAATCAATAAATCTCACCGGAAAATTCCCAAGAAATTCGGCCAAAATGGAACCACGTGATCCTGACGTCCAAATCCTTCAAACGAAGTACTCCGAGCCTCCTTAGGACTTCACTAAGCTCACTACAAGCTTAGAATTCCCTGAAACACGACATTTTACGTGTGCATGAACAGTAACTCAAAAATGGAGGTTCGGGTTTCCCGTGATTTCGAGGGTTTCACTTCCTAAAACTAGTACCAATGAACTCAGAACGTCGAAATGATGAAGATGCATACCTTGGTTGCCTCGATCCGTCGAGTTTTTGGAGGGTTTGGGTGTGTGCCGTACACATTGGGTGTGGGTGTGTGTGAGGTTGAGGGAGAGAGACAGAGAGTGTACGAGAGGGAGAGAAGACAGGGAGTGCGTGTGTGTGTGATTGTGTGGCCCAACACAATCCTCACCATCCATCCAAATCCCTAACCACACAAATTCAAATTCCAAAAGTTTAATCCCAAAACTTACCAAATTAATTCAAATAATGTCACACACACACGTACCTTAATGCCCGCCAAGGGTAATTACGTCAATTCACGTCCCAGATATAAAAATCCTGGGACGGGCTGTGACATATTGTGTCACGTCATCCTACATTAAAATTTGAATTCTTGTGTCATAAATTAGAGTAGTTTAAAACAAAAATTAAAAAAAAGAGTTATAAAAATCTCCACCCAGCGTTGCCTAGGCCTCACCTAGGTGCTAGGTAGCTAGCGACCGTCCCAATTAATCCCTAAACGTTTGAAAAATTAAGAAATGGCACCTAGATCTATCTAAGGGCCCGCGTAGCCCACCTAAGTCACGAATCTCACTTAAACAGAAAATAAATAACTTTCATTTTGCATTTTGTTTTTCAATAAATTATAATAAACTTGTTAAATACTTGGATAAACACTCATTATATGTTTGTTTTCCATGTTTTCAATATGTTCTAATACTTTATAATTTATATGATATTCTATTTTACAATTTATGTATCCAACAATTATTTATTTTTAAGTGTAAGTAGATATTTATTTCCATGTTAAAAAATTTAATTTAAAAAAAAAAAAACCCCTGCCTAAGCACTTAGCGTCTAGCGCTTTTTACAACTTTATTTCTCAGACTCACTGGACACTTGCACTCAATAAAACAATAATGTATCATCCAAAAAGTAACAACGAGAATCAAACAAAGGATTGTGGAAATCGATCACAACTACAAAACTTCTTAAGTACCACAAAAGTTGGGGAACCGGAGAGAGTTGGCTTAAACTTTTTCATTTGAACAGTTAAATCCTCAAGTGAATGAAAACCCCAAGAACAAGGTCTCCGCTCTAACACTGCTGAAAAAACGTGCAAAACGCAGATGCCTATACATCAATCACACTGCATACTGCATATTAATTGGACCCCGAAAATTCAAAAGAGAGTTTAACAGAGAAAACCCATCTCAAATTCTCAAAATCTCAATCATATAATGCAATCAAATTATTCATGTGTGCGTCTCTCATAGGATTATTGGACGAACCCTGGTGAGATCTCTTCACCCCCACAAACTGCATTCTTGAACTCAACAGCTGCTGGGACTGTTTGCAATGAGCAATTGCCCCCTCGATTGAGCCCTCAAGCTCTGAATTTGCACTCGTACTTCGCTTCAGCAGCTGCAAATCTGAGAACCCACTTGAGCTGAAGGAGAAAGAAGACGAGGAAGACGAAGAAACGGAGGAAGATGTAGGTGAACACAGAGATTGCAGGGCAGTTGTATGTTGAATTGCCCCAGAGAAAGATTTTCTGTGGGTGTTTGAGTTTTCCTCGGCCATTTCTTTCTCAATGCTTTTCATGAGAGTGGTTGATGATATTTGGAATCTGCCACCGTCGACTCTTCCAAATGGGGTTTTCTCAGCCACGTTCATGTACTTGTTGGAGCAAAAGTCTCTGACTTTTGAGCCACTTTCTGCTTCTGCACATGAGTTGTAGTCATCCGCACAGGTGGTTTTTCTGAACAGGGACTTCACATATGCCCTTGAAGCCTTGAGCTTTTGACCCAATGAGGACTGCTTGATCTGCTTCAGCTTTGTGGACCAAGATTTCTTTTGATGATCATTGTGCCCACCAATGAAATTCACACACATGTCAGCCGTCCATTCGGAGATGTACTCATCTGAGTTGAGTTCACTGCTGACCCTGCAGGACTCTGAGGGGGCGATATTGTAGGACTGGTCCAATGGGGTATTGGAGCTTTCCCTTTTGGTGAAGCTTTCGTCAATGGCTTCCTGTGTTTTGTTGTTGGAGGTTTGGAGGATCTTTTGGACCATTTGCAGGCGAGGTGGGAGGTGGAGCGGGAGGAGCTTACCTTTGTAGAAGAGTTCATCAGCTGGGGAATTTGTGGTTTCTTTGTCTTGACAAAGTGAGGACATCTGGAACTCAAACTCTCTGGTTTGTGGTGGAGAGCTGATGGTATAGCACAAGAAGTTGGAGGAAGAGCTCACTTCCATGTCTATGTAGTCTTCATCTGAACTATGATCACCTGGAGCTTGGCCTCTGGCCATCGCATCTGACCCTTCTCTCTCTCTCTCTAGTTTCTCTCTCTAGATTCTGTGTGTGTGAAGATGCTTAGCCTAAAGATGTTGAAAAGTTTGAATAATGCTTAAATAATTGTAATAAATAGCAAATTCTATTTCCTTTTTCTATCTTGAATGCTTTCAATAACAAGAATGCAGAAGGTAGAAACTTAAGTAAAACTAACGAAGAGTTCAAAAAAATTTAGTTTTAATAAAAAATGATAAATAAATGTGTAGTGAATAATATCAGAGAAATGTAAAAATATGATTTTTCGTTAAAAATGAACGATACCAGAAGTGTTTTGATAAAATTTTCAAAAACTTATTAACCTTTCTTCCTAGCCCGTGGAGCCACACAAACTGACCAATATGTATTATTGTTCGTATATCTAGGGCTACAGAACATCTACCTGTAGGTTATGTGGGCTAGAATTTGTAGTTTCAATAGATTATAATCACAGTTTTATGAGAGTCTCGTGTGCGCGCGCGCGCATGTGTGTGTGCGTGTGTGTGCATATATATAGACACACTCATATGTTATGCTTATCGTTAATATAGAATGAAAACTTTGGTTTTTAAACTAAAAATCTATGAGCATTGATTTCTAAAATTGTCACATCGTGGAGCAATGGTATTTTTGGTAACTCCACTAAAACTTTTGTCCAAAGTTGTCTAAATAAAAGGGTTTAAGGGAAAAAAATTCTAACCGAGTTATCTGAAAAAACTAAATCGATACTTGAAACGTTGTGTCTAGTATTATTGATTTTATGTATTATAATATAGGTGCACGCCAAGTTTATACTTTTCGGTACAATTTTAATAGGTAAAACATGCATGGAAGTTATACCAGCATGGAAGTAATACCAAGTAGTGGTTTTTCTATATAATACAATAAGTTTCAAATGCCTATTTGTTTTGAAATGATAGAGTTCTTTTAGGAGTGCAACTTTGATCACCCCTCTAAAGCTCACATCCCAGATTATTTGCCTTTAGATTAGTTTGGTTTAATTAATTTAAAGTACGAATCTTGATTTAAACTAATCTAATTGTAATTATTGAGAGTGAGCAAAAATGCACTGTTTTTTTTATGTGATTCATGTTTAAGATTGCTATGATAAATGCACTGAAATTTATATAAAAAATACAATCCCGAACATGCCCAAGAGCCCCTTTAGAACCAATTTTGGAAGAAACGCTTTTTTGTCAAACAGTGTCAATAACATATTTTGTTCTTTTTTTTCTTTTCATATCAGTATTGGGTGTATGAAAAGACTTTCAAGGCTTGTTCGAGGGACAAGGATTGTCTGCCCTCCTTGTTCCCGTGTCTTCCTGTTTTATGCGGTCATGGTTAAGTTACGTCAACATTTTATATTGTTTTTTTATAGAGATAATAAAACAAAAATGAATAGTAATATAAAATGTTAACGTGCCTTAACCGTGACCACACAAACAGGAGGACATGGGAGGGCACGGGAACAAGGAGGGCAGACAATCCTTGTCCTTGTTCGAGACTGCTTCTCGAATGGCTAAATGCTTTTTAACAATTAATAACATTTCTAAATACATTTTACAACGAAAATGAAAAGTGATTCTAGATTAAAGAAGTGCTAAACACTCTCAAACAAGCTTGTCATTTCAAAATCAATCTCAAACATGCCCTAGATAGCTTGTTTATAATGAGCTCCAAGACTTCCAATCAAGACATATATAATGCAATGACTGTAGAGCGTGATTGGTGGATGACAATGCTTATACAAACAAAACCCCATGACTGTACGTTTTCTTGGTCTACATCCACTCCACCCTTGAAAATACCCTCAATTTGGATCTTCAAACGTTTTATTAGACTAGTTTCCCACTACCATAAGTGGTACAAGATGAAGATGTTGACAGATCAGAACACAAGAAAGCCTCCTGCTTTTATTGAGATTTCATTTGGGAGTTTCAATGTAAAGAATATCCCCCCATCTTTTGTAACAATGTTAAAGAAACTGAAAGGATAAATAGATTTTTTTGAAATGAGACTCTTTGTAGACTCTCCGTCACGTTATGTTATTTAATATAATTCTCATGTCAATATTGTAAAATATTATGCCAAAACATAAAACGATAAAAAATTCTACTTTTAAGAGAATCTCCTTAATATTTCTCAAATGAAAGTACAAGCTCTAATGCCAAAATCAAATCTCTAACAAATAACTATTAGCATGAGATATTGATATCCGAGAAAGTCAACAAACATTATTTTTTAGGTAGGATTTCACTGGCCCAACAGAGTTAACAAACCTAGTTTTCAAATTTGGGGACCTTCATTTCACTCTCTAAATCTGTACTCTTCAACCCACTCTTCAAACGTTATTTTTACTTTACTATTAAAATCTCTCTCTCTCTCTCTCTCTCTCTCTCTCTCTCTCTCTCTCCTCCTCTATTGAATTAATAAAATATTTGAATTTTATTTTTAGTGAAATTTAAAATTTGTAAAATCTGTTGAAAAGTAAAAGTAGTTTTAAAATTACCCTTTTAGTAACAGATATGTATTTGAAGAGTCATATTTATATATTCTGTTGAAGATGTTCTAACTCTTAAGTTTGTGCTTTCTTTTTCTCATGTTAGTTGTGCTTCCTTTTTTTGTACATGTTTATGTTCTATGACAATGACCATGTGGAATATGAGATCTAAGGAAAATAATAACTTTTTAAAACATTAATTTGATTTAGTTTACTAACTATTGTTTTTCTTCCTTTTTTTTTTAATTGAGAAACATGCTTTGGTTTGGATTTTCAGGAACAAACTTGTTTCATAAATAATGCATCTCATGTTTATATGCCAATTCATTATGTTATTTTTCTGCAACAACCACTAACACCTCTGCAAAACCTATATTTGAATTTGAAAACAAGTTTTTCATTAATTTTAATCGTTTTATTTTTTTCTGGACAAACCCAGTTTTTCATTAATAATTTATACGTGAATGTCGTTATCTGACCTAGTCAAAATGTTGGAGATTTTAACCTCGTCGTCATCTTTGTAAGTATCAACTAACACGTAATTAAGTGAAAATTTTGATGAACAAAAGCTTCTTCAAACACGTCTTTGCATGGATGCCAGCGTATGTCTTATCTTCTTTATTTGGTCTTGACCTCTCTACTTTTTAGCATTAGTATTAAGGGTACAAGTCAGTAATACAGTTAGCAATATAGTTAGTAAGTTTGTTAATATTTGATTAGAATAGTTATGATTTTTCTTATAAAAGCAGAATGTGTAATATTCATTTAGTCAGTCAATACAAATCTTATTTCTCTCTCTAAACTCTCTCTCTCTCTCTAATATCTATGTGTTCATCCTTGTGTTCATCCTTTCTTTTTGATTTTCCCTTCAATTTCCAAACATTGCAATGTAGTTAACAATTACAATACTTTATGAGTTGATAATAGTAGTTATTTTCAAAACACGATGCTCATCTAGCTGAGAAATTATTTTTTTTTCCTAAATTTTCTTCATCTTTGATCTTATTTACGTCACAAATAACCGTTTATGGTGTATAATCACTGCTAAGACTTAAATTTAGTTTTGTAGCCTTGAATGGTTTAATCGCTTATTAGATAATAATAATAAGTAACATTTTTCATACAACGAAAGTTGTAGGTAAATGGATTTCCGCACATATTCAAAGTTTCTTATTCTTCGGACGTGAGATTGATACTCTCAGCTCCTCCTATTTTAAGTTTTTGAATTTGGGTTAAGTTGGAAACAATAAATCATCTTGAGGAATTTGTGTTGATTAAATCACACATGTATTAGTTTTGTTGTTTTCTCCTGACACACATGCAATAGGAGACTCGAATCTGACCTCCCATAACCTTCCCCTGACGGGGTTCCGCATGCCATGGCCATTGAAAAGTACGCAAAGGTGAAGGCTCCCTGCCAGTAATGGTAGCCACCACGTGCCTACACCAGAGACAGACCATATTATCTCACTAACACTTGATTACTGCTTCTGAGCACGTGATTAATCACATTTGTAGCTAATGTGATTGCAAGGCTTTGCAACTCCATAGTAACTGCTTTAGCCTTCTCCAGCTCCTTGTAATGACAAAACTGGTGGACTTGCTCTTATAATTTCGATGCGTTGTGTTGTATTTTTTCCTTTTCAAGTCGAGGCCAAAGCTCAAGTCTTATCACGTACTTTGGGTGCTGAAGAGTAGGTTTAACTCCAATTCAGCGAGGACTTGCTTACATTCAGAATTTGATGTGGTAGTATTCCAAACTCATGATGCACTGTCATTTCACATAGTAAAGTTTTTAAGGAATGTGATTTTATGTTATTGGCTTCGAGTATCACCGCAGTGACATGTTAGCTTCTTTGAGCCAATGAACCAACCACTTGGTGTAAGTTCCCTTGTAATTTGCAAAAGGTATATGGTACGATTTTCAATTTTTCAAAGAAACTAATGATGCCAGTCACATGATCAGTTATTGTGAAATACATATACGTGCCCGTCAAAACTGTTGTCTTTGAAAAGGTGAAAATCAGTTTCTAAACTACATCCACACTGTTGAAAGCACAATTTTGGAATAATCTTACAGTTGCAGTATCTACACGAGAATATAGTCCACTTTCTTCAAGGTATTATCTACATCTTCAAATGGATCAGAGAATTTACACAGCATCAATAGACCTAAGCAACTCCAGTGTTTGTCAACTTTTGTTTTACAACCTGTCAGGAGTGTCGACTGTAGATACATAGCGTTACATCTTGCGTCGAAAGAGACCTACTTATTTGCTTCTTCAACAAGACATGTCATAAACCTGCACTGTTAAAAGATCAATATGCACTCGTAATGCATATTCCACCATATGAATTTGGCCTACATTTCTTGCCGGTCAGCTACTTCTTTTCACTTCCTTTTCAAGTTCATCAAACACCATATCGCAAATCTCATCCGCTGAGATTTCTTTGACAAACTTCCCAAGTTCTGGCTGTAGTTTCGCCAGTTCTTCCTTTGCTTCATGCTTTTTAAGTTCTGGAGTCTCAGTGGTCATTGGACTGGTCTTCCCAAGATCAGGGTCTAGTTTCGGCAACTCTTCCTGCAGGTCTAGTGTATTTGCCCCCTTGATGAAGAAAGAATTGGAAACTTCATCCTGTTTGAGTTCTGGAGTCCCAGTGGTCAATGGGGCAGCCTTACCAAGTTCCGGCCCTAGTTTTGTATCTTCCTTTGGGTCCAATGTCTTCTCCCCCTTAGTCAAGGAAGAATTGGTATCCTGTTTGAGTTCTCGAGTCCCAGTGGTCAATGGGGCAGCCTTACCAAGTTCCGGCCCTAGTTTTGTATCTTCCTTTGGGTCCAATGTCTCTTCCCCCCTTAGTCAAGGAAGAATTGGTATCCTGTTTGAGTTCTGGAGTCCCGGTGGTCGATGGGGCAGTCTTACCAAGTTGCGGCCCTAGTTTTGTGTCTTCCTTTATGTACAGAGTCTTCTCCCCCTTAGTCAAGGAAGCATTGGTACCCTGTTTGAGTTCTGGAGTCCCGGTGGTCAATGGGGCAGTCTTACCAAGTTCCGGTCCTAGTTTTGTATCTTCCTTTGGGTCCAGTGTCTTCTCCCCCTTAGTCAAGGAAGAATTGGTATCCTGCTTGAGTTCTGGACTCCCGGTGGTCAATGGGGCAGTTTTACCAAGTTCCGGCCCTAGTTTTGTATCTTCCTTTGGGTCCAGTGCCTTCTCCCTCTTAGTCAAGGAAGAATTGGTATCCTGTTTGAGTTCTGGAGTCCCGGTGGACAATGGGGCAGTCTTACCAAGTTCCTGCCCTAGTTTTGTATCTTCCTTTGGGTCCAGTTTCTTCTCTCCCTTAATCAAAGAAGAATTGGCATCCTGTTTGAGTTCTGGAGTCCCGGTTGTCAAAGGAGAGGTAGCGGTAGGAGATGGACTTGTAATGGCCCTATCACTAGAAGGCGTCTCTGGTCTTCGCGGCGAAGCTTCAGTTTCCAATATTGGTCTGTCAATGGATTCAAATTCGTCGTTTAAATTTTTGATGGCATCAAAGAGTTCTTTGACCTTCTCATCATCTCTCCTGATTCAAGAAAACACCGTGTATCCATCGATATCAGAGGAGTGAGGTTACGAGCATAAAAGTGCACCTAATGGAAGAAGGGAAAATGACAGCACATTCGACTACCTGAAAATGCCTTCGCTTTGAACGTAGAACTGCTTTTTCATGGTATCTACTACACTTAAGGTGGTCAGAAACTGGAAAATGGCCAAAGAAGCATAGATTGAGAAATATTTTCCTTATTAACGAAAAACAAAGAACAATGAATTCCATTCCATACTGCTTAAGAATAATAAAGCACTAATTTAGACAAACAATAATATTAGCAAAAGAAGAGACGGAAGATTTATGCATACCTTGGCTTCCATGTCCACATAATCCTCTACAAGATTTTTCCTCGGGTTGCTTTCTTTTGAACTTCCATCATCTATGCCCGGTATATTTGCTCTGATGTAAATGAATAATCAGAGGCTCGAACTAACGGTGTAAAAACTGCTAAAAGAGACAGAGAATTACCCTTTACTTGAGTTCAAGCACTCCACGAGAGTCCTTATGCGAGTGATTGACGATCCCAAGTTTGCCTAATTGTGATACGAGAATGAAGTGGAAAAAAACACAATGTAATAGATAACAGGCGAATACGATGCAGTATTTAAAAACAACTATCAATGAAGAAAAGTATTATTACCTTGTAAGTAAAGAGAAGTTGGATTACCAAATTCACAAAATAGTCTCCATATCTCTCCAGTTCGCCACTTAAACATGAAAGAACCAAATATCATAATCATTGAATATGACACAACAATGCAAGTACACATATCGTTAAGTATATCGCATCAAATACTTGTTCCATTTCCAGTTTTAAATATGAATTTATCCGACATAATATGTTGGGAATTTTGGGATCAGATTAATTTGGTGATCAGTGTACATAAGAACTACATACTTGACCTGCTTCTCTTTGTGCTCTGTGTACGAAGACTGCAGAACCCAGGTATCTTCCAAAAAACTAACCCACGTATTTACAACATCAGCTTCTGCTTTACATGAATCAATAGATTTTGATAGCTCATCTTCCTATCATTAAAGAAAACAAATATAAAAAGATACTCTGTAGAGAGCTATCAAATTTTCATCCAATTTAGAGCAGTAAAAACCATACGTAATGTATGCATTCTGAACGTGAACCAGGGCATAATCAAAACCTGTTGTACCTTTGCTTTTATGTGTACAAGAATCTGATTGCTTGCTTCATCAAATTGTTCTCTTTCTTCCCTTGCATTGTGAAGGCGTGCACGAACGGCCTTCAATGCGATAATCACCTATAAAATAATGTTCAGTTGTATATGCATTCTCCAGCCAAAGATTATGAAAACCAAAAAAAAAAAAAACAAAAAACACTCAACAGGATTCATTTTGTAGACTATAGAATTGGCAGGAGTGACATTTGACATTTGATAGGCTCCACTCACACGGACGATTTACCATCAGATTACATGTTACCTAAACGCCTAGAACTAACAATCAAATCAACAGAATTGGGAATGACAGCGATCTCCTAAAGTGCATATTTTCTTTGGAAGCATAAAAAGAGTGACATAAGAAACACAGGAGGAACCTTTTTCAGTTCATTTTGGAGTTCTTCTCTTTGCCTCTCAAGTTTTCCGATCTCCGCCACCAGTTCCTGAAAATTTACTAAAATTTGTGTACCTCAACAACAAAATGATCACAACCAAGCAAATTTATCCCGAATAAACAGTCCACTATATCCAAATTAAAATTTAACAGTGCACCAATAAAAAATGTCATTTATCTATTCTGTAAAATATTATTACAGATGACTAAATGATAACAGGCCTTTCTAACATAACAGTTTCTATACGTACTAGCCATGGGTATGAAAACTGAGGGTGAACTCTGCAGTTTTTATTTTATCATCAAACTAAATTGGCACATACCATTGTGTTGGATACCACAAATCCTGAGCAACTAAAACTCATTTTAGAAATTAACATAATAGAGAGGCTTCAAGAAATATAACTTATTAATTGAGCCTCAATTAACATTTGTAGCTTATTCAATCAAGACATATCTGTGCAAAAGAGTTACATAGTTGGATGCAAATAAGTCCTTTGAGGCAATATACCTTCTCAACTTGGCTTACTTCGTTAGCTTTAGCTACACGAAAGCTGAGTGCTTCTTCTTCCTGAAACCTGCTTGAAGTATTGAAGGACAAAACAAAGAAAAACATTTTACCAAAATAAAAGCCAACCAGATTAAGAAAACGCATATGGTCAAAATTTACACATTTTCCATGTCAAATAGCAATTAATCAAATATCATATTGGAGATGCATGCCCTGACATGCACCAAACAAGAATTGATCACAAAGTGCACTATCCCTTTACAATTCCACACAAAACTATCTTCACACAGGATGTGATAACTCTTTAAACTCAAATCATCGGTCAAACGCAGTCATGGTGAACACTATCTTCACAATGGAAAAGAAAGAAATAAATATATGCTAACTTTTTAAATTATTGGTATACTTGGTCCTGACGGAAATCTTCACAACGGATGTGATAACTCAAGCATCTATTTTCTTGACACATATACAGTGATACAGGGACAGAAAAATAGAGAATGGAAACCTGCATGCATACACTCGCACCCATAGACACAAGAAAAAATCTTTTAAGATAATATTTGAAACCTGTGGTCTGAAATGCGCTTTTCAGCTTGTGAGGTGGAGTTAGCAAGAGATTCTGATAATATTTTCAATTTCTCAACCTGCAAGACATAGATCACGGCAGTTAAATACTAATAAGAGAAGTCTTGACCCAAGACTAAGAATATGGGGCCTAATATCCTGAACAGGTGCAGTGCCCCTCTAGCGGCACAGTTCTTCTTGTTCAGTAACAAAAGAAAAAATGAAATCTAGAAGAATTTTAGAACTTCTGTAAGATGACTAATTGACAATTGGTTTCCTTGACCTTTTCATAATGCATCTCGGGTGAGTCCCCATTGCTCAATGATTTCTTCTTTAGTAACAGAGCCTCCAACCTGGAACATAGTTGAATTTCTACAAGCGCGTCTTTTAAATTCTGCAAAGAAATCAAAACTTTCAGTCATTTGCATTTAACTACCAAAACTCATAAAAATCATCGCAAATACAACTGCATCTAAAAATGAATGACCAGTTAGCTGCCTGAACCATGCTCGGCACAACTGCACTAAATCTGAACCCAAAAGACCCTATTCACATTCTTTTATCCTTCTTCTAAAATTAGTTGAGCACAATCCTTGGACTAAATTAACCGAAGCACAGTGCACAGCTCTAATAAAAAAGATTAACAGAAATGGTCAAGTGATGATTACAGTACTAAGATATAACAAGATAATACATACGTTTATGCTTTTTGATGTGTTAAGAAATGGGAAGTTGGGAACACATCGGATATGAAAATATAATTACAGAAGCATAGATAAATCAAAACAATATTAAAACAAGTATGCAAACAAGAAAAGAGATGTCTTCTAAAAGTCAAAATAAAAGTTGGACATAAAATCACCTCAATTGAAGTCTGTGCATGTATGGGCTATGTATCTGCATGTGTGCGTGAAACTCCATGCAAATGTGAGTGGATTTGCATACGTATGTCGTGCATCTGCATAAATAAGAACATCAAGCTTACCTCTATTGTCGCATCTGTTGTCTTCTCAGCTGATTTTTCACAACCTTCACTAAGAGCCTTCTGGTGTGCCATCAATTTATCAAGTTCTTCCCTTAAACTGCAGGCTTCAGCATCTATTCTGAGAGCACAGAACAAGTCACCGGAAGATGTGGAGAACAAGATTAGGTGAATCAACATTCATTAAAGGAAATCAATAGAGGGTACACAAACCAAAAATAAATACTGTTATTACTTTCTTATACAAAATCAACTACAAAAGACAACCAAACTATAAGAGCTCAAACTGAAATGGTATAGAAAGACAGTTACAAAAATAATCATGCTTAACTGGTATGACGTTTCATAAATCAAATGCACACAAAGAACACACGCACGCGCTCGCACACACACAGAGATCATATATATACATATATAGTGCATAAACATTATACATATTGAGAAAGCGTACTGACTATCAACATTCAAACATGTAATTGTAACTTTGATATGCAATGCCTACTGCAGCATATAGAGAACAAACTTAACATTTCAAGGCATGAAGTGGAGCTATTATATATCAAAGAAAAAACCAGCACAACACAATACACCAAAGACCAATAATAAAACAGTCATTTACATTCCAAATATCTCTTAGTGCTTATGTCAATGCCCAAACATGCAACAATAAAAATGGAAAAACTGTGTTCCTCAACGACCACCTTGCAAGATCTGCATTTATTTTCAGCCCTGCAATTGCACTTTGAGCAAATTGGAGCAATTCTTCTCGCTTTATCTGAAAAGAGAAGTAGAAGGTAAAACAAAGAAGAGAGGAAGGGATGCAGGTGCTAAAATAAAAAAATATAGTTTGCAACATGATTGTGTGATGTTAAAAATGCTGCTGCTTTTTACTTAAGCTAAGGTATAATCTGGAAAATTAAAAACATGGTGCATCATGTAGCGAGAAAACCATGATCTGCCATACAGAAGATGGCTGTTTGAGAACATGAGAAAAAAGGGAACAATTTGTTGGAAACTTGAGCCTTCAAATGATAATAATATATCAATTCTAACAAGAAACACCTTATATCTTTAAAACTTGGATTGGATTGAGACTGAAAATCTCAAGCACAACATTAATTTATTAGATCATAAATCAAAGGACGGGAAACTTGCATCAAATTGTAGCATACTTAATGGTTCCATCGGCTAAATGAACTTCCTAGTACCATTTAGAGTACAGGCTTGGGTCCTGAGATTTCTATGGCCCCTTGCAAAAGCTGAATATAGGGACCTCTTTTAGGAGTCTGATCTCAATATTATTTAGAGGCATACAATCTAAACCCCATGTAGATGTGCATGCTGTCATGCTGAAGACATGCATGCCCCATCCTTACCAGTACTTCATCTTGATAGTATGAAAGTGCAATTGACAAATTCTGTACGCTGCTCATTACTGCATTGTGTACTTCCTTTCCTCCTGTAAGACAGAGCCTGTATATAACCAAACAAGAAAACTCACGTAATATTTAATATTCAAAAAATATTATCTGCAAAAGCTATCTTTAGAGTTTAGATAAATCATAAATATATTTTTTAGTCAACCGAATAGAATTTTTTTTACTGTCATCTGCTAAAACTGTAATTTCAAGGACCTACGTTATCCCAAACAAGTAATGACCAGAACAATGGGCCATAATAAGAAGATTCGAAGAGTGAGAAAAATCACCCATATATCTCCAAAAGTAGCGAAACTTCTTCCTCATTTGGTTCTTCAAGAATCTGAGTCATACAAAAGAGTTAACCTGCGGTTAAACTCCATGGATCAGCAAATACAAAGCCCAGCCATTGCATACAGAAGTCACTAAAACCCAAGGGAATGCTGAAAGGATGAAAATTCTAGATATCATACTTCTACAACTTTTCACACAGGTTAGAAGGAGAAGAAAGAAATCTTAATCCATCAGAAACATTTCATTCAAATTTTCAGTGTATAATTCAAAAAAAGATTCTCTCTACTTATAATGGAATTATTATGCACACCGTGATGACGCCCGATTATTATATAATCCGGTGCTCTATTCACTCGTCATATATACACTAGGGATCAGCTTTGTAGTTGGTAGCAGAAAATAAACACTTCCTTCTAATTCTATGTCAACCAAGTACGAATAGAGAAATCTCACTCATCATATATTATATTACAAGGAGAATGTTATCAAGTCTATCGAAAGCGAACATTTGTACTTGTTCAACTTACCATGGATAATGTCATGCCCTCCAGAGCTTGGCTATGAAGAAAGACATCACGAAAAGTTTTCGGTTCATCTCCAGCATCGGAGTCTACGTAATAAACCTGTCGCGAACATTAAAGCAAGAATTACAGAAGAGCAACTGAAAAACAACAACAGCGAACACAAAGTGTAGGATTTACTCACCAGGGTAGGTTTCCTCGGGGAGTCTGCTGACTCATCGGATGTAAGGTGGTCTTCAGAACCCTTTCCGTTTCTCGCATTGTAAAGGGTGGACAATCTCTCGATTTCTTTGAGTGAAACCAGCCACCTCCTCAGCAGCTGAACCCTTTCTACACCTCTACAAGAAACAGAAACTTCTTCCAATCTTTTCACAGTCTGCTTAAAACTCTGTAAATTCCTTGGACGCTGAGTAGCAAAAACCATGCCAACAAAACTTAAAAGTCGAAATACAAAAGCTCAAACCAACACCGACCAAACCAATAAATAAAGCAAATACGAAAGGGGCATTCATTTTTCTCGAAATAAATTGGGTCCGTTTGGACATGTTTCTCTAAAATGCACTTCTTTTCGAAAGCATTTTTACTAAAAGCACTTTCGATAGAAGCTTGTTGAACTGATTTTCGCACTCTCGTTTTGTCCCTTATTCTCCCCTTATTTATTCAATTTTACAATTAGAAACAAGAGGGGCGAGTGGAAAGGAGTAAAGGGGAGTGCAACAATCAATTTCCCAACCAAAATTCAATTGCTTTCTGAAAAAGCAATTACAGGTGTATGTGTAACAACCAAAAATGCTTTTGGCCATTGTGAAAAACTTCCAAACAGGCCAACCAATTAAACAGAAAATAAGACATTAATAAAGGGACTTGAATCAAAATATGATATTTTTGTCAAACGGAAAACAAGGTGAGGAAAATAGTACAATGCGGTCAGGGAGGAGGAGTCTGGCTCCGCCGGCGACGGCATTGCCCGCGTGGAGGACGACAGTGTCGGTGTAGTTGCGTACGGTGCGGGTGAGGCTGTTGGCGGCCCCTGCTTCCACTGCCAGGTTCACCGCATTTCTAATCCACGACATGTCATCCGACGCACGCTCTCTCCTTTTTGTCTCGCAATTTCCCGCCCTCCAAACAAATAATGAAATAAAAATTGAGAAATTAAAAGAATAAATTACAGATTTAATGGTGAAATTGGCTGATTTTTGTTGATTTTGGGTTGATGAACGCCGGAAGAGGAAGACGAAGAGGAAGGAGTCGAGCGATTTCTTTTGGGTGCAACTGCAAAACGAAATGAACGGTTTTTTCTGGTTTTAGTTGGGACTTGGAACTGCTTTGTTTGCGCGGTTTTCCTTTCCCTTTCGTTTCGATTCCTTTTTGGCCTTTTTCGACTACGAATTCACTAAACTGCCCTCCTTCTTTGGTAGTATGGGGGCCTGGAGGAATTCTCGGAAGAAAACGCGTAAATTTTTTAAGCCTTCACGACGTCGTCCCGGCTTAAAATTTCATTCTCTCTTTTTTTGGTCACTTTTTATTCATTAGTAATTTCAATTTGTACTTGATAATAAGAAACATACTTAAAAGAAATTCAAAATTTAGTTTAGGGATCAAATTTTTAATTTTTTTTTTAGTAATTTCAATTTGTACTTGATAATAAGAAACATATTTATAAGAAATTCAAAATTTAGTTTAGGGATCAAATTTTTAATTTTTTTTAAATACAAGCGGTCCGCGGAGAGGGAGGGATAGAAGGGTTTGAACCGGACGAGAGGAAAACTCAAATTACTAGGGCAAATCCATCACTTGTAATACTCATGTTTTTTTTTAGTTCATGAATTAATATTCAACGATTTCTAATCCAGGGACCAAAATCCCAAAAGCCAAAGTACCAATGCTCCAATTTTTGTGGCTTTCCTATCTTTGTTTCAATTTGTGGGAGTTTCGTGAAGATTTTTCCGACAAGACAATATTCCAAATTACTTTAAACACCAAAAAGAGAGGTTTCAACTTCGTTTTTTTATTAATACAGTAGATATTATCTATGCTAAGGGATAAGAAAGTGTACTAAACCTCACAATGGATTAACCATAATAATTTGGTTCAAATTTGTTTTTAGCGAGATCCGCAATACAAAGTGGCAAGAGAGGTTTCAACTTAAGTACAAGGAAGGGATAATCTATGCTAGCTTAGTGGCCTAAGAAAAAGTAATTCACTAATATAAAAGCAGAAGGGCAAAATGGGAGGGGCAAGTGTGACAAGAACTTTTATTCTTTAAGAGAGCTTTCTTTTCTTTCCTATCAAAATTCGGAAATTCTAGTACAATGTCAATGGCTTGGATATTACACTGATAATACAACTGACCAAAAAAGAGTAATCACCAGTTCTATTATGTGCATAGAATGGAGATGATCAGCAACAATGTGGAGTATTGTTATCTCTACTTCATCTATAGCTAGTCCTCGAAGCCACCAACACCGCCGTGTTTGCCCAAAGGGGAGTTGCTTTTCTGCAAGTGACATCCATCAGTCAATTTCCGGCAATGGCACTTTCCAGTAGTTCCACGAGTTGAAGTCTTCCTGCACATATGTCGAAAACCAGGTTCGTCCATCATCAGCGATGAAGACAAAATTGAGTTAGATACTATGGATTATGTTCGGAGGAAAGGATGCAAAAGAGTATTTACCTGCTCAACCAGTGAAGTTGGAGGAAACATGTCGTTGACAAGAGTGTGCAAAGATGTGTACGTCTTCACGTCAACGGGATGATGGCTGATGGCCACCTCACCCTGCCAGTTAATCACCACGGTTTAGCCACATGAGAGACATGCAATGCTCTCTTTCGTTTGTAAAAACCATCACCGGAAGATAAATATGAAATATACCTTGGGATTGATTATGAATATTTTGCCCTTTGGAATCCCAATTTTCCTGTAGCTGAGCTCATCCGTGTCTCTATTTCCAAATCCTGCATAGAATGGATTGTAATCGGCGGGGAAGAGTTTTTTAATGTCCTGCAATATATGATTTAGCAATTAGCATGCATCGCAACCGTTAGAAGAAAGGGATCCAACCCAAAGTGTTTGAATTTGAACTCGAGCTTAACTTTATCTGCTACTTACCTCTAAACAGGCAATTTTGAATTCATGTGGTGCTCTTCTTACAACTGCCATCAGCAAATAGGAAAAAACAAACTGATGAGCACTAAAACTATATAATCTCAAAAACTTAAAGAAGGCAGAATTCAAAATCGTAAGCAACTAAATGAGCTATTTAGTATATGGCAGTGGTGGTATGATGTATAACGGAGACAAACTAATATCTTATTTGTCAAAGGTCAATGAACTAACAAATGATCAAGTCAGTACCGTCAAAGCCAAGTGAATGACACATCAAAAGGTTCTCATGATTGCATATCCAAATCTATAGAGAATGTGAGTCTCATCCAGTGTTTAAAATATCAGTATCAGTGGAAATATTGATAGAAAAATTTGTGAAAATATCGATCGTATATCAATATTGATATCAATTGTCTTTGATGGAAATGATGGAAATTTGCTCAAAAACATGGAAATTTAAAATTATTTTTTAGGGAATGTCATATGAAGTCACAACACACATATGAATCAAGAATTAATGATTAGATATTGTGTAAACAATAGGTTAGTGATATGTGAGAAGAAAAACTTCCTTCTAATGACAAGCAATAAGATAAAGCATTTCACTAGAAAGAATAAATTACATATAACTTAATTGAAATTTTCGTCATGAAAGCAATACAAGTTTTATTGAAGTAAACTAATACCATAAAGAAAGAATTTTAAAAAATAAAGAATACATAGACTCATGGATATTTCCTACAAACTTTTTGCAAATGTCTGCAAACACTAGATATTTCTTGAAAATATCAAAAATATCGAGGAAATTGACTGATTTCAGGAAATATCGCGGATATGACTTCACCCCCTCTTTCCATATCGTTCCCTGAATTTTTGGATATTTCCGTGGAAATATCGAGCATATCAAGGATATTTCAAACATTGGTCTCATCGGATATCAATAGTGAACTGGAAAGCAAGAATAGTTGCTTGTTTAACAACAGCACCACACATAACAATGTCATGGCCAAAATACGCTGATTTGATCCAAATCAACCTACCACCATCTAAAAAATCTATTTTGTCATAAACACTACAAAAACTTCCAATGTTTGCCTTTCTCCATTGTTAGTTTCCTTTTGGGTTTAATTTTCACATAGATTTAATTCATTAGAAAAGCGGTAACATCTACAGTTACAGAGTGGGCATAAACAACATCAAAACAAAGTTAGTTATGCAAGCAGAACATAAATTACAGAGATGACCTCACCTTCACGAAACAATGAAGGAAATAATCCATCAGGTGAGATAACAACAGGTCCATTGGGTAAAGCTTTTCCATCCTGCAAGTACAGGAGAGTAACCAAATTGATTATGCAATTCTATCAACAAAGCCTCGACAATCTCAATCTTACAAGTCTAATATCTGCCTTTAATCACATAAAGGAGGTAAAGAACAAAATTTTGGTGTTGGATTAGAAAGAAAGGGAGACCAAAAACCAGGCTATTATTAGATTACCTGTTTTAGGTTGAGTAAAAAGCTTCTCGTAAGATATGCCTGTACGATTGCACGTGCACTCAAAAACAGTAGCTGATATCCATTTTCCTGTATTAAAAGCCGGAATCAATATTAGATACCCGTCCACAAAAGAAAAGCAAATCAGTCCATGACAATGTAAAAATAAAATTATAAAAATTAATTGCAATGTTCCTACAATGACCTTAATGAACCTTGACTGAGAATCAAGCTGATAACCTTAATTGATAAGTTATGCAATCAAGAGATGTACCTTAATCGCAGAGAAAAGCCTAGACACACCAGTATGCGTCCAATCCTTTCCAACTAATGGCATGAACTGACCTAACACATCCGACCTGGTAAAATGCATCAAGGTGAAAAATTTTATCATTCAACTAAGCATTAATATTATCATGATGGTAAAATATCTTGTCATTTTTGTATCTTTGAAATGTTTTATTTTTTTTATAGCTTTGCAGATTTCATGTGCTGTCGATAGTCCAAAGGACTAATTTGAACGACTGTCCAGCACTAAACTACATCTTCTGTGGCAATGGAAAGTTGCAGAAGCAATCCTATTTAGCAATCCAAACCATATTACATGACAGCAGCCTTACTTGGTAATAGTTCCGTCAACATCAGAAATTACAATTCTGGCATTCCATTTCCACAAGTATATATGTGCATCAACCTGGTAAAGATAAACATGGGTTAGCAGCTAAATGGTAGAAATATATAACTCTATCTGGCTATAGCTCAAAATATAGTTGAAACACCAGATGATTGGCAAACCTGTTGTGTCCCCCAAACCCTTGTAGAGAAACTGAAAGTTATCATATTTTGACCTTCTTTGAGATTTAAAGATGCTATCTGCTCGGTGGTGGGAACATTTGTCCTTACAAATTGCTTCTGAGGGGACTCAGGAACCGTTTCAACTTGTGAGTTCTGCAGACCAGATTCAGAATCAACAAATTCATCCTCATTTGATGAATTACTGTCGGTGTGCTCAAGTGTTTTGACCCTCCTAAATGGAATGGGCCAGAGCCTCCATCTGCGTCCAGAAGGAGTCGAGGGCGTTCCAGGATCCTCATTCCTTGGTTTTTCTGAGCCATCTTGTTCGACAGGAATTGCCTCCTCTGGCTCAACAGATAAATCTAGATTAAAAGCAGCCATTCCAAGAACAGCAGGAGCTGCTTTTTCCCACGAAAAGTATCTTTCCCTATATCTGACAATCAGATTTTCATTTTTCAAAATTGATGTTGCAGAAGTTATAAAATCCTCTGCAGATATACGATGTGCAGCAAAGGTTTCAGCAGCAGCTTTCACCCCCATACCCGGACGAAGTCCATTCCCACAGAGAGAAATCTCAAACCCTGGAAATTGTACAATAAACAGAAATTAGATTATGGAAAAATAGGGAGATTTAAATAACAATTGGAGCCAGTAAGAGGTGCTTACTTATGCTTGAATGGACTTGTATTTCTTCACTTGACGATTCTGGTGGGGGTTCTATTAGCTCATTTTGTGTTTCTTCGCTTGAAGATTCTGTTGGGGGTTCTATTAGCTCACTTTTACTGCATTCATCTACACTTTCAGGTCTTTGTTGATTAATTTCTGTCCCATCAACCACTGCTGATGTAACACACTGTCCATCCTTCCAGTCTGGATCATTACTGACAGAATGTACAGAAATGCTGTCAATACTCATTTGTTCTGCAGAACACACAATCTTCTCAATTGA